GAGAGATCAAAAAAGCTCTTTACTTGCAAATATTGAGATACAGACTCTGTCGTCACTTTGCACACAAATGTCATCATAGGAAGTTATCTTATTATTGATCTGATCTTTATGACATGCTAATCCAAAGTTCTTCCCATACATGAAAGCTACCTAATATTTTTTGTCTTCCATAGCCTTCATTCCAGAGGAAATAGCATTGACTTGCCAGAAATCTACAGGGTTTCATTCCTTTGCAGACAAAAGATAAAATTCTGAAAAAGCAAAGTAATTCTGATGTTAGAGAGATCATGGTTTAAAAGCTTGTATAGCTTTGGAAAAGAGAGCCTCAGTTCATATGTACTAATTTCTTTCAGGCAGAATCTTAGGGCCAGACTACATGATACGACCAACAGAAGTAAGGTCATAGGTGCATCACTGGACTCGCAGTCAGACGTACATCAGGGGAACTCACCTTGTAAAGCACACATTCACTGGGCACTGTAAAAGGGGGGAAAGGGCTGTGAGTGGGCTTTTTAAGTGAACAACTCCATTTTGAATGGAAGAAATAGATCTTTTTAGTCTTTTTTAAAAAATTGATTCTTGCAAATTGCAGCAGTGGCAGGTACCTTGGGGTTGATGGAGAGGCTATGAATTGGATTTGTCCTTGCATGTTTTGTTGTGCTCTGGCCGGTTTATACCATATCGATTAGAGCAATCATAGTGAAAAACCATTGGGTTGGGTCCAGGGTAAAAGGGGTGGAGTAATTTTCGCTAATTCTTTCTTCCTGCTACACATTTCAATCTGCTGTTCTTGAACTAGGAAACAAAGAGTTAAAATAGTACAAGTTATAACCATATTGGAGCAGGTGAGTTTAGTCAGAATGTGCCTATAGAATCATAGAGATGGCAGGGACCTCCAGGGTCATCTAGTCCAACCTCCTGCACAAGGCAGGAAATTCACAAATACCTCCCCCTCCACACCTGCAATGACCCCTGTTCCACACCCAGAAGATGACAAGAAGCCTCCAGGATCCCTGGCCAAACCGGCCTGGAGAAAAAATGCTTCCTGACTCCCAAGTGGTAATCGGCATTTCCCTGGGCGTGTAAGAAAGGGCCACAAGAACTAAGTACTGAGGAAACCCTTTCTGCCCTCCCTCTCATGATCTGCCTAAGTTCACAGAATCAGCACTGCTGTCAGATGGTCATCTAGCCTCTGTTTGAAAGCCTCCAAAGAAGGAGAGCCCCCCCCCCCCGAGGAAGCCTGCTCTTCCTGATGTTTAGCCGAAAACTCTTCTGATTTAATTTCAATCTGTCGGTTCTTGTCCGACCTTCTAGGGAAACAGAAAACAACTCTGTACCATCCTCCATATGACAGCCCTTCAAGTACTTGAAGATGGTTATCATATCACCTCTCAGTCATCTCTTCTCCAGGCTAAACATACCCAGTTCCTTCAACCTTTCCTCATAGGACTTAGTCTCCAGACCCCTCACCATCTTTATTGCTCTCCTCTGGACATGTTCCAGCTTGTCTATATCCTTCTTAAATTGTGGTTCCCAAAACTGAACACAATACTCTAGGTGAGGTCTAATCGGAGCAGAGTAAAATGGTACCATCACGTCACGTGATCTGGACACTATACCTCTGTTGATACAGCCCAAAATCGCATTTGCCTTTTTAGCAACTGCATCACACTGCTGACTCTGTGGTCTGCTAAGACCCCTAGATCCTTTTCACACATATTACTGCCAAGACAAGTCTCCTCCACCCTATAATTATGCATTTGATTTTTCTTACCTAAATGCAGAACTTTACATTTATTCCCACTGAAATTAATTTTATTTGTTTTAGCCCAGTTTTGCAGCCTGTCAAGATCATCCTGTATCCTGACTTTGTCATCTACCATATTTGCTATCCCTCCCAATTTAGTGTCTTTTCTGTATCATTCCAATTTTAGTATATGTGCTGCTGAAGCACATATCATCTGCAAATTTAATAAGCATTCCCTCTGTCCCTTCATCCAAATCATTGATAAAGATGTTGAACAAAACAGGTCCCAGGACAGATCCTTGAGGCACTCCACTTGTCGCTCCTCTCCAAGAAGATGAGGAACCATTCACAAGCACTCCTTGGGTGTGATCTGTCAACCAGTTACAGATCCACCTAACAGTCATAGGATCCAAACCACATTTTTCCAATTAGTCAACAAAAATTTTATGTGCAATAATATTATGTGGAAAAATCAGCATTTAATCTGAAAACAGAACTCATATGTAAAAGTACATATTTGCTGCATGAATTATGAGAATATCAAAGTTTGCAAGCTATCATGAGGCCATCTAGACCAGACATCCTTCTCCTTTCTTTTCTTTGCAAATTAGGGATCCAGTGTGGCTTGCCGCCTTGAAGAATCGTTGCTTGTTGTAACTCATTTATTATGTGTGGCATCTTTATTTTGGCATGGTGGGGCAAGCATGCTTTATTTAAAATTGAAGATTGTGTTTTTGGGGAGCTGAATTCTGGGGAGGTGTACCTGTTTTCCCTCAAACACACAGCTGAACTTTTCAAAGGTGGAGGGCTATATAGCTTGGTGGTAGGGCAAGTGTGAGATGGGCCAGTGAATTTTAAGCATATGTGTGATCTTGATAAGTGGCAGTTCCAGGCAGGGAAGAATCAGAGGTCACAATAGGAGTGTGGATGTTTGCAACTTATCTTTGCCTCCTGGTGTGAGATAGGTAACTTCCAAGAGAGACCCAGCAATAAATACAGAAATCTTCAGTAGTAATATGCATTGGATATTTTAAAAAATGTTCTCACAGGGCTGTATAGAATACCAATGTTAAACGAGCCCATAAGACTGTTCCCTTTATATTTAGATTTTCTGTGTATTTGCATATTTCATTAAATAAAAGCATGTTTGAGATGTTTAATTCACTACCTTATGAATTACTGAATAAACGGAAGCTGTCTCATTTTTGGTGATTTCCTAATGAGGATGAGCCTCTTGCTCTAATGCAATGCATCCTTACAGAAAATATGGATCACTCCCCATGAGTGTCTCCTGCTCAGCAGCTGTAGAATGAAAAGCAAATAAAATTAGCAACAGGGGTTTGTTTCTCCCCTTATCTACAGGCATGAGTTCTCATCTGTTCTGTTTGGGTGTATGTTAAATTGAATATCACAGAGCAATAGTCTGAGAAGCCCTTTCTGAATGTAAATATGGGCTCTCTGGCCCTTGCACAACCTGAGCATTGGTTCTCGGATAGAAACATGGCCTTAAGTGGCCTTCTGGCCTTTGTACAAATGCTATGCCTGGTACGGTTAGCCTAGGCTTTGGTGTATTGTATGATGGTCAAGGTGGAAGTATCTGTCTAGACCCCTGAGGCTTTTACAGTAAAACCACCCCATCTCCCAGTTGCCAGTGTCTAGGGTGGACAGCCTCCAGGTGGGGCTTGGAGATATCCTGGAATCACATCTCATCTCCAGATGACAGAGATCAGTTCGCCTGGAGAAAATGGTTGGTTTGTGGACTCTATGGCATTATAACTGCTGGGGTCCCTCCTCTCCCCAAACCCACCTTCCCCAAGCTCCACCCCCAAATCTCCAGGAATTTCTCAAACTAGAGTTGGCAGCAATCCTTCAAGTGTCTGTGGAACTTGGTGTAGCACAGTGATCAACAAACTGAGATCTGGAAAGCTGCTGTTTCGTCTCTCATCTCTGCATCAAACTGGCTAATTAGCCTTTGGTAGGCCCCGGTCACACGAGAGGATTAGGGCCGGGAGAGGGATGGATCGGGGACGGAGCAAACGGGCGCGATCCCACCGCAACATCTGGGAAGTGTTGCGCGCCTGTCCCCGATCCGGCCCTTCCAGCAATAATCCGCAGCAAAAAAGAACCACCTACCGAGGTGGTTCTTTCTGAACGGCCGCATGAAAGGCGGCTGTGGGATCGCCGGCGCGTTCTTCCGCCGGCGCATCCCCGGGTCCTGGCCGAACTGCGCATGCTCAGACATGCGCAGTTCGGCAGCCTCCCGTGGCTTCCTCCCCGGTCTCCCCGGCATCTGATCGTGCCGGGGAGCAATTGCACGGCGGCTCACGGGATCTGTATGATCCCGTCGCCGTGTGCCTATTTTGGTGCACTTTGCCCGTTCTTTTTGTCCCTCGTGTTGCAGGGACTGTAATTACTCATTCTGTCTCCACTTCAGCCCCCTTTCTGCAAGGTGGGGATAACGGCTTGTATCCAGTAATATGCAAGCAGAAACATGAATGGACTTAGCACACTTCAGCTTGTGTAATATCTGGTGCTTCCTTCCCTGTATTCTATAATGCCCAGAGATTAACTTCTAATATGTATTCATCCCTAGTTTATTCAGCCCCTCTGCTGAGCAAAGTTTAAAGCCTTCCTGTAGTTGAAGGAGCCTTTCTACATCTCAGGTGGCTCTTCCTCCAACAGAAGAGCCACTTAAGTTGGCAGAAGGCGGAAGAGCCTGTATGGTGTAGTGGTTAAGAGCAGCAGATCTGGAGAACTGGGTTTGATTCCCTGCTCCTGCACATGAAGCCTGCTGGGTGACCTTGGGCCAGTCACAGTTCCCTCAGAACTCTCTTAGCCCCACCTACCTCACAAGGTGACTTTTGTGGGGAGAGGAAGGGAAGGTGATTGTTAGCCACTTTGAGACTTCTTAAGGTAGAGAATAGCAGGGTATAAAACCAATTCTTCTTCTCCTCTTCCTCCTCCTCCTCTTACCAAGCAGAGAAGCTGAATACATCCCTGAATAAGGCTACCAAGCAGAGTGGCTGAATACATCCCAGTCTAAGGCCCTTTGTGCCATTGACTACTGTTGCATTCAATCCATGGTTCACTGAAATCACTGGACTTTAAGATAACCCAGGTCCTTATAAGATCTGCTTGAGTTGCCAAGCTTTTGGTTGACGTCCAAATTAAACAATGATCTTGGAGAACAACTAAGATAGTGACCAAGTTTACTGTAGCTGGCGTTGTTAAGTGTGCTTCTTTTGTTTTGTAGGTGACACCAAGACTGCACCCCAGTGTCCTCTTCATCTCTGCTCTACAAAGTAAGGATGCATGACTGAGTCTCCAATTGTGGAAAGCATTAGGTATTTTTTAGGGATGTCATGTTTGAAGAAGTCAATCTAAAAAGTGGCATGAATTTGCATCTGAATACTTCCAAAGAATAAACATACTCTTCGAGAACACTTAAATTTGGGTCCAGTATAATCTAACTGTTCTGCGACATACCAATATGGCCGTCCTCCGTTTACTCCTCGAAGAATCTTTGCTAATGCTTGTGTGTGTCCCAGCAGGTACCCTACCAGAAAAGGCACTTGTGGCTTCTTTTTTTCACCAAGGAGGGAATGCCTCCAAATTTATACTTGCCATCCACTGTTTTGGGAAACAGCTTTTTAATCCCCCCCCCCTAAATCTGCTACAAATTAGTGAGTAGCATCTTTTTAAAGGATTTAATTGGCCTTGACTTATTGATTCAAACATTTTTCAGCCCAGACTATGAGTGCTTGAAGTTCTGTTTTAGACTGAAAGCAATCTGATTTGGACAGCAATCTGATATGTGCAAAACACATGCTCAGCTGAAATTTAGACACCAGCTTAACTTGGACATCGGGCCAAACCATGGGCTAGGGCCTCATAGTGCGGTGCTGGAATTTTCAAATAGTAGTTTGCCACCAGCTGGCAAGTTATAGATAGAAACAATGGCTGCATCCAGGTTTCATGAATAAAACTTTCGGTTTGTTTGAGAATGAGCCAGACTCGCATGCTTCCTCCCTTGGACTAACACAGAACGCAGAACTTGCAAGCTAAGAAGAGTTCAGTTGTGATGTGGGGATGTCCAGTTGGACATTTGTTGTGATGTCCAGTTGTGATGCTTTAACAAATTTTGGTTCATTTTGTCCGAACACGTCAGGATTCTGAATGATCATTGTCAGAAACACTGATTTAGTAGCCTGTTATGTATCTGCCTTTGTTTTCAGGTGGGCCATGTGTTGTGGATGTTAATTTAGCTGAATATTTGTCTGCCTTATTTAAAAAAGTTAAAAGACTGTGGTGTGTGTGTGTATGATGCACAGATACTAGCTAAGAAGAGCTGTGCACAGAATGTGCTGCAAAGTGGCAGATAGTATCCCCTCCAGAGTTCAATCTTTGATAAGCAATTATTTGTGTGAGCAAAGGACAGTAAGCACACTTCTACAGTTCATACGGCATGCATTTATATGTATCCCTATGAAGAAGTATGCTTGGATTTTTACTATTCCTTTTTCTCACTATGGGTATTGCCAGTCATGTTCCCAAAGCATTTATTGTGTGTTTAACAAATCTGTATTGCATGACCTTGGTGCTGTACTAAATCAGTCTAGGGTCAAACTCTGGCTAATTTACAGTGCTTCAATGCCACAGCTGGGATGCTTCCACAATTCCTTTGAATGTTTCAAAGTAGTAATTTAGAACAATGGTTTAAAAGCGTGACTTGGCAGGACACTAGACATAGTAGCTTGAGTCAAATGGAAATTGTTAAAATCATCTGTTTGTCTTAGACTATTTCTCCTCTTGATGGTTTTCTTTTCTTTTTCTTTTTAGACACTATCCCCATATAGTAACGGTTCCATCCTTCCCAACAATGGCCGCATATGGACAGACTCAATATAGTGCAGGAATCCAGCAAGCTGCTACTTACACAGCATATCCACCACCTGCACAGCCTTATGGGCTGCCTTCCTACAGTGAGTAATGTACTAGTTACATGACTTTGAAGTTGATTTTATAAAAAAACATGTATGTTTCTCGAAGTGTACAATTACGCACATTCTTCATCCCCTCCAAAATACTGGCAGACAATACTGATGGTGTGCAATTTTTGTTGCTGGGTGGTATGTAGAGAGCCAAGAACTCTCTATACTGCAAAGCTCTGGATAGATGGTACAACTTACATTTTACATGTATATTCAATAAGCTTTTTTTCAGGCATACATTGGAGCAGAGTTAATACAGAGCAGATGTTTGTTTTGAGACCCAGCAGCACTGTTCTCAGCAACCGAGATCCCCGTGTGCATACAACATAGAGCAGCCACGCTTCATCCAGTATAAATAGATATCCTTTAAGACATATTTGGAAGGGGGGACAGCTTCCTTTCTCGATAGAAGCTTCTAGTTTATAGACGGGTGCTGTAGATGTTTTTGCAGCATGTAAAGAGCATGGTGTTCACGTGCTGCAGAAGGAATGGGCCAAAAGGGTAGGATGTTCAGCACCTTCCACAGTGCTGGAAGTATTGGTGGGTCCTTGCAGTAGTGATGCAAAACAGCACCAGGGAATGGTAAAACACAGGATAAATGGGCACCTCCAATGTACTGCGCTTCTGCAAGGTCTTGGGGAAAGTACTGGCAGATCTTAATGTGAATCAGGTCTGTGTTAGCTATGTTACCTTGCTTTGAATACCACACTTCAACCTGAAAAAAATTGAATAAGAGTGCCTCTCGGCACGTGCAGAGTGATTGCTGTTCTTTGCTGTAACTACAACAGTGCAGTATTCTTCGAAGAACAGGGGCGGAATCTCCAGGCCCAAGAACAGATCCTCCAGGCAGACTTGAATCTCTCTCTCACCTGTAAATGCACTGTTGGCTACCTTTTTGGAGAAAGCAGCAATAATGCCTCCTTTGCTCTTTGGTGCTTGATTGCAGGCTGAGCCACAGGTTTGCTACTGGGCCAGCAACCCTCTTTATGTGATGGAGCAACCAGCGCCTGCTTCTCCTGTCTGTGCAATCTAGTGTGAAGGCAGGGTTACAAGTAGCTATTGCATGAGCTGATCCAAACAGAAGAGGCTGAGGACAGGTCAGGGCTTCAACTGGCATTGGGTAATGTGGATTTGTCAAACTAGATATCTGGAAACATATTGTCAAGGGTCAATGATGAGTTTGACAGCAAGATGACAGAGAAGGTGCCAGGTCCTCCTAATCCATTAGGTCAGTTAGCCATGGAGGTAATACACTTATCAGCTACAGGAAATTTCTATGTAATTGTTAAGTGTCACCTGTGAGAACATCCAAAAGGCTAGTTTTAGGCACCGGCAACTCCTCTTGCTCCTTCAAAGTGTGGTGGTCATGTAATTGTTCGCCAGACAATTCTATCCTTTTATCATCACCCTTAGAATTAATTTTAAGAATACTTTAATTTATTGTATTTATTTCCATCATTTATATCCCATTTTTTCCCTAATGGGAAGTCAAAGCGGCTTATGTCATTCACCCTTTCTCCTTTTTATCCTGACAACAAGCCTGTGAGTTAGGTTAGACTCTAAGGGTGTGTGACTGGCCCAAGGTCACCCAGCAAGCTTCCATGGCAGAGTGGGGATTCAAACCTGGGTCTCCCAGATCCTAATCCAACACTTTGCGCACTACAGCACACTGGCTCTTAATGCCACTTTAAAATGCCTAAGTTCAAAAATTTCTGGAGCATGCCCATCTAATTAACTATTGCTTGATTATGTCAACAAACGCATATATTTAGTGGCTTACCAGTTTAATCCGTTTATGACTCTTTATGTTCAGTCTCTGTGGAAAAGGCCTCCTTTTCCAGCACTAATGTCTATCAGTACAAGAAGAGAAATGTTTAAATTTGGGGGGTTTGGAGGCATTTTGTGCATTTATGACTCTTTATGTTCAGTCCCTGTGGAAAAGGCCTCCTTTACCAGCACTAATGTCTATCAGTACAAGTACAAATTTGGGGGGTTTGGAGGCATTTTGTGTGTGCTAACAGCTGGTCCTATGCCAAGAAAAATGCTGAACAGTTGTCCTCGTTAGCAGCAGGGAACAACCTGACTATTGGCTACTGGCTGGGGTCTTTTAGGGCTTGCACAAACCAGGCCCATGTGCTGCTTATAAATCCTGTGGATTTACCTATTTCCTTTTTTAAAAAATTGTCTCCCTCACCCATCAGTAATGCATGTGATACTGTCCATTCTGAAAAATCCCACCTGGCAGGCAACCAAGAACAATGAAGTGGGTTTTTTTTCCTTCTGGCACAAAAAAGAAAACTATTCCCAATTCCTAGACAAAACGGAGAACTGTGTGGAAATTAATTTGGTGCCAAGTTATTTCTCTGTCTGACAACGGGCTTCTAGAAAGAGCCTGTCACTGAAAATTAATCGTGGTCAGGGCTGCAACTGTTCGAGCTTTTGCATGCATGTTGCTGATCGTAATCAAAATACAAATGTCGTGTTATGAAAAGCAGTTTCTCTTAGTCATACACTCACAAAAATCCTACCCCAAGCTACAACAATGGAGTCTGGCATAATAGCACATAATCACTCATTCTTGTTTAAACAAACTGGCTTGCCAGTGGAATGGGACCTTATCCTTTGGGTAATCTGCCCCTGGGCATTCGGCTCAGTTCTCTTTCTACTTTTAAATGGTTGTGAAAAACCAAAGGTGTCTCTACTCCCATCATTTTTATGGAGGGCAATTTTGGGGCAATCACCAGTAGAATCCATCATGTTTCTAGGCTGAAACAGAGGCTTGTGTTCAGTCTGCATCATGCAATAATATCTGGTGAGCTCTGGATGCCCTGGGCAAATGTCCAGTTCATGCAATCTTCCCTAGTCAAGAAGAGGAACTGAACCTGCTTCCTGGGACAACTGCTTGCTCAGTTAGTCCCCCTCCCAAGCTTGGAGGGTGTGTGTTTATCAGTTCCTTGTAAGTCCTCCTCTTGGCATCTAACTGTGGTGGGAGGTGGGAGAAAACAACACCATAAAATTGCTACGGGAGCTTATAATTATGAACACCCAGGCGTGTGTTTGTTATCTTGACCTTAATTATACTATACCGGCAGTCCAGTCATAACTATTTTTGATCAGGTGTATCCTATTGATTGCAGTTGTATTTATTTCCCATTGAGTGTGTAGTTTCCACAGCCCTAAGCCAAAAAAAAGTGTATGGGACTGATAAAATCTGAAGTTGGTTAACTGAATTTCAGGAATGACCTTGATGCTGTTTTGCTTGGCCTCAATGAAGGCTACAGAAGTCTGTCTCACTGTGGTTATTGTAACTGTTGTTCAGTTTTCATGCTGTATTTCTAGCATATGTCCATTGAACAATGTCTGCTATGTCTGGACAGGCCTGACTCTGATATCAGCAGAGCTAGTGCATTGAACTATAGAAGGATATTGTGCTATTGTAATCATTCACCTCCTAGATTATGTAGTCTGGATGAGAAAAACCCAGAAGGTGAATTATTACAATGGAGCAGTATCCCATGATCAGTGGATCCAAGCTATTTCTTCTTCTTTTTTTTAAGCACTGTGTCTCTCTCCTTGCTGGAGATCCTGACTAGAGGATTCCTGCTCAGTATCCCATGATCAGTGGATCCAAGCTATTTCTTCTTCTTTTTTTTAAGCACTGTGTCTCTCTCCTTGCTGGAGATTCTCACTAGAGGATTCCTGCT